TCTCTCTCTCTTTCTGTTTCTGTGTCTCTCTGTGTGCACTGGCGTGTGTGTGTTCATGTGCACGTGATGTATATTTGTGTGGAGGAGCAATGTTCATGCATGCAGAGGTCAGAGGGTGACACCAGGTATCCTCCTCCATCACTTTCCACTTTATTTTTGAGACAGGGTCTCTCTCTCACTGAACCTGGAGCTCACTGATTCACCTAGACTGACTGGCCAGGGAGCTCCAGGGATCCTCCTGCCTCTATCTCCCCAGCATTGGGATTACAGGCACGTGCTGTGGGTGTTCAGGATCCAAACAAAGGTCTCCAGGCTTCCTCAGTTAGCACCTTACCACCTGGGTCATGTCCCTAGTCTCCAGTATTCTAACCAACAAGGATAACTTACCTGGTTTAGACTGTTCAAGCTGCTGTGCCAGTAATGCCATAGTCCAGTGGTTTACACAACACATTTGTTTATCACACTCTGGGAACCTGACTTGGTGTCTGGTGGAAGCCTGCTTCTTCACAGATGATCATCCTCCCTGTATCCTCACACGGGGAGGGGGGTTGTCTCTGTTTTAGAGTACTAGTCCCACTCTAGAAGGTCCATTCCCCTCTCATTACGCCAACAGTTAGGGTTCCAACATGCAAATAAGAAGGAGTGTGGACATTCAGCCCATAACTTAGTTCTTTTTGTATTTGGGTTGTTTTTACACTATAGGCTGTGGTTTTCTTAGGACCTAAAGTTCTCCCTCAAGTTTGCATTATATAATTTATATCACAGTGTTTATATTATGTTACTGCTTTTGTTACAGGTTCCAAGTGGCTTTCTGAACAGTTGCAACTGTTTGATATGAGCACGCTGCACGGCTATATTTGGTTGGAGCTCAGTTAAGACTCACGCACCAACCTTGAAAAAGTACTGTGCAAGCTGTCACAGCTCATCACCTCTTACTCATCCCTCAACTCTGCAATGTCTGGCTTCTGCCCAAACCACTTACCGAAGTTGTTTCTGTTAAGGACCTTGTGGTAACTCTAAGTCCCTCTTTTGTTTGTTTTCTCTGAAGCATCTGACCATCTGAGACTCCTCCTCCATGAAGTTTCTCTGGTTTGCTCACCCTTATTTCCGCCCTCATCTGGCAGCTGCATCATGCTCTCTCCAGCCTGCCCAGATTTCCTGACCATCTGTCTAGAGCCAATGGCCTTCTCACTCGGCAGCCTCTTCTTGGGAAATCTCTGAAGGCCTGCTTCCAGATGCTCTTGCCTCCTAAACCTTGACCTCCATCTCAGCTCTCTCTCTCTCTCTCTCTCTCTCTCTCTCTCTCTCTCTCTCT